GAGCCTCCAGAAGGGGCTGCGGCGCGCGTTGTCGCCGCTGGGCCCCCTGCGGTTCTGTGCGTTACTGCCATTGTGATTTGCAAAGCAATGGTTGTGATAGGCTGCGAATCGCATTGTAATGGCTGCGGCCAGGATGTGCGCACACTGTGTCTGTGCACTACTGCCATTGTGATTTCCATAGTATTGGTTCTTGCCGGTTCGGAGTCGCATTGTAAATGCTGCGAGAAGGATGTTTGCGAAGTGTGTCTGTGCACTGGTGCCATTGTGATTTGCAGGACCAGTGTTTACGCGGCATGCGAATCGCCTTGTAAATGCTGCATAGAAGTTGTTTGTGAAGCCTGTCTCTGCGCTGCTGCCATTGTGATTTGCAAAGAAAGGGGTCTCACTGCATGCGAATCGCATTGTAATGGCTGTGGCAAAGATGCTTGCAAACTGTCTCTGCTTTGTAGTGCCATTGTGTATGAGAACGGAGAGAAGGCATTCGCAGTCGATTGTATATTTGCCTTTTCTAGTCGGATTTTCGCGGAGACCAATGCTACAATGCTGCTATCACATCATCACTTATACTGCACGTCTCAGCATAACCGCCTCACACTTCCTTCTTGACTTTTCATCTCACTACTCCGTCTCCCAACTGATGTTCATATACAGTTGAAATTTGTAAAACTTGGGGTTATCCGGTCCTTTTATTCTCTATCCCACCGGGTTTTGATTGCCGGACAAATGTACAATTTTTAGGGATCAATTTTAGGGATATCGCCAAATTCAGTCTCAAACGACACGAACACACTTACAGAATGCATCACTGTCACAAAAGCCCCTGCCTCTTGAGGGTTGTGGGCACTCAGCAGCGCACAGCCAGTGGATCGCACCTGGGGTCGTGACGAACAAACATCAGTTCATACGACGCGGACATGCTACTAGTAGCTGATTGTTTACTACTAGCTTCTTGTTCCTACTAGTAAGGCACTTGTTACTAAAAGCGATGCACTTGTTCCTAGTATCTTATTGTTCCTGCGATATGGATGGTCCTTGTATGTATACACATTCATGACATACCTACAAAGTTTGCAAATTGTAGCGGGTGATGTGAAGAAATCCTTGAAGAAACTCTTGCAAAGTCTGTGCTCTTGTAAGCGTAAGTACTAGTTATATCACTTTGTATCTGCTGTGTTTGATGTGTTTGAAGGCTTGGATTCTCATGTTCGGGGCACTCTAGAATTGCACCTCGTCTGTTGCCGGCCACTCATGCGCACTTGGAATCATATATACACAGTGTGGTCACTTCAGTTCCGCACCAGTGGACCATCTGGACACCACTCCCCCCGCTCCGTCACGCTGCTCCCGCCGAGCCACGGCCATGACGTCAGAGTGGTCGCAAAAGATGGAGAGCGACTGCCGCGCCAAGGCACGCGCGGAGACGTGGAAGACCGCGGGCAGGAGCTCGCCAGCACAAAGGTACCTATAGACGGCGAATAGTGAAAAATGATAAACGACTATTATATACATGTTTGCTGTTGATATCCTATATTAACAGAAACTTCTCAGGGCTTTAGCATTGATAATAACAAGATCTAGAAACTAGAATCCAAAGTCTCCACCTTCGAAATCACACGGGTTGGTAAAACATCCAACCAAAGACAAAGGAAAAAGATCTGAGATCTGTGGAACCCAGGCAGTTCTACTCAGGCAATAATATAGTTGCTGGCTCTGGGCAAACCACCCTACCCTCAAAGGTTGGTTCCCGAAACCCAACCACACTATTGTAAAATTATGTAGAATCTGTAAATAACCGTGTAACAGCTTTGAGAAAAGGAGTCTGAACACGCAGTGTCCTTTGGCGTCGTGGACACTCTGCCTAGAAGCTGCCGCCTTGCTCAACAAAACCCATTCATCAGGCAAGCCCTGGTTGGCTGGACAGTCCCAGGACTTCGAGAACCGAGCAGCATGTTTGGGATCATCCTTAGGCAGGACACGCGATTGACTCTTGTACCGGACAACACTCAGAATGTCCGGAGTCCGTTCAACAAGGGTGTGCCATGTTGTGTAGGACTAGGAGTCTCCTTTAATTAGAGAGGTCACCACACCTCTGTCACGGACCTGGCAGAATTCCAGGAAAGGAACGTGCAAAAGCTACAGTACAACATAGTACAACCATAGGGGGTTGCTCTTCATTGAGTCTAGTTCAGCGCTTATCAAAATGCTGCCTGCACAGCATCAGCTTTGGGAATGGGGTGAACTTCAATGTGGGTCAAAACACCACTATTATACAGTAGGTATTGATAGATGAATATTCCACAACATAAATCGAACATAGGGGTCTACTACTATCACATATATAAATATATGTATATACAATAATAGTAATTGTCATTTGACATATGGTCTTTGGTGTTTTGCTTCGACTGCATCACCTGCATGAGGATCCGTTCAATCAATACAAAAAACCATCAAACCCACCATTTGTACTCAAGGAATGCAAACATCTCATCATCATTACCGGTGCAAGAGTGCTTCCAAACACCAAGCATTGAGAAATTGAAAGGTGCTGGCGCTGACCTTTTGACGAGACGTCTGCTTGGGTCTTTAATTTGGGTGCCCTCTTCCAAGTCACTTGGGACTTAGGACTCTAATCAAGTTGCTTGTCCACCTGAGTTCATCAGGACAGGGAAATGTCAACTTCGAGGCATGTCAAGCAATTAATCAAATCCACTAGTGGTATTGTGGTGTTGCTAGTTTGTCCAGGACGTATGAGCAAACCACAAGTTCTCACCGTCGAAGCTCAACTCTTCAAGCGTGTGTAGTATCTGCGAGTGATTCTCATGTGGTCAGATTCTTCACCGCTTGGAAGTTACGATCAAGGTTTGAAAGAATGATCCTCACTGGCACGAGGACTCCATCAAGAGCAGATTTGTTTGCAAGGATCAAGGTCTGATTTGTCCAGTCCAATTCGGGGCCATGGCTCATCATCTTACGCATGGAGATCCAATGACCTGTAGCATGACTTGGATACAAACGAGGCACTCCTATGACTGGCTGCCTCTTGCCAATGCGAATCAGTGAACCGAGTCTCACAAAGAGGAAGAATTCGGGGTCCTTGGGGGTCTCAAGTCCACCTCATTGTGCGAACCAAGATGAACCAAAATGAACCAAGTCTCAAGAGCAATCCTTGTGAGGCCGTGAAGGTTGTACACAATGCTCCACCTCACCGGCCGCGGTGGCTGCCGTGCCACGGCTCCGGGACGAGTGCGGACGATGGTCGGGGCCAACAGGGACCCCAGCAAGGCCCCACCCACACAGCTATCTACATGTTTTTTGACGTGCCTCGGAGCGTGTAAGTGCACCACATCTGTTGTCCGTTGTCAATTACAGAACAGCTACTTTCTGACCAGTTGATTGGGCTCGTGAAAAAATGCTTCAAAAAGTGTCATTGATGGCTGTGAACTCAAGGACAATAGATCTAAACCTATGATTAACACCATCCCTATAGCTGAACTCAGCCACTAGGACCTTGGAACACGGGTCGCAGGGTCAACTTCAAATTAAATTGCATTTTTAAACAAATTGATGTGGCCCAAAAAAGACAGCACCCCGGGGCACAGGTGGATTCGGATGGCATCCTATGTTTGAGGATTAAGCAAGTTTCAGCCATTGCCAATTGGTCAAATAAACACAGCCTTACCTTTCACTGGACTACGCACAAATGACTATCGTTCTGAATCCCGTAGTGTTTCCCAGTCCGGTGTCGCGGGTCACACACCCCACCTGAGAGAGCGCCATGCAAAGCACCGGCCTTGAAACGGGTGGACAAAACGTGTAAATGAAAACCATCGTAAGTAAGCACAGACTTGTAAACGCAAAATCATGGATACAGTACATAATATAATGACCATATGCATACCCTTTAAAACCAAACGATCCCAAACGCATGGTATACCTGGGAGTCTTCCGTTCATGATGGACTGCTTCAAACCCCGAAGTTGTCGACAAGCTGCATTCCGATCGTCAACAAATCTGAGGAAATCGAACCGAAGGGCCTAGCCGGAACTTTCATTCTTCCAGAGGGCCGCCATGAGCTACCAATCTGCTCATGCTCAGCATGCTCCGCTGTACCTTTTATGAACCACATCCAAGGTCCAATTGTTGTCCGAAGTTGACCACGGTTATAAGTTATAACTAGATAGAACTAGTAGCTTCTTGTTGCTAGTAGTAAGGTGCCTTGCTACTAGTAGCATCCTTGCTACTAGTAGCGATGCACCTTGCTACTAGCGTTAACCAGGAACTGACATGCGGGGCACAGCCGAAAAGCGACCCAAATGACCCATGGACGAAATCATGCACCGCACCTCCGATCCCGTCCGGTGAAATCTGGGCCAAGGCTCTGATCCCAACTCAGACTGCATCTGCCTGACCTGTATTTCGTGCTTTCAGGTGCTGAGCCAGTCGTCACATACTGCAATTCTAGCCATGTGCACATCTTGTCCAACACCGTTGGCTAAAAAAGCGCGAATGTTGGTTGCGGGCAAATGGACCACTTCGAACTGTGTGATGTTGGCTGAAACATTCTACTTTGGACAACAGGATACAGGCTGGGAAGCAGGGGTGGGGTCTGAGGAAGTCGCAACGCCGGGGGGGTTGCAATTGTGGTGGTCTCTCTGGCAGCCCCCAAAATATTGAAATGGGGCTTGCAATAGGGGAAGCTAGCAGTTAGCTATCCAAGCATCCCAAGTGGTGCAGCTTCCAGTCTCAAAGTTCCAGTTTCCTCCACCTGGATCTAAAATGACGTAGGTGGAAAAGTGCTCTTAACCCGCTTCTTTTGCGCGGTTGCAGGCTTGGAAGGACCGGACATTTCTATAGACGGATGTTTGGTCAGATCACTTAGCTGCCACCAATGGCTCAGTAGAAGAACACCCCGAAGAAGACGAATAATATCTGATAATACACTAGGACAATTGCCTTCGATTGCTCATGTTCTGACTTGGCGAGCTTCTGTACCATAGGTGGCTTCGTAGGTTCAAATCTCCGCTTGCCCCTGCAGTCAGCCCCAACACCTCGGCCCTCGCGCCCCAAGCTGTGCCTTCACCGTCTGCCCAAAGACATTCTTGCGACCGGCGGTGGCAAACTTGTCCATGGTCTCCCCCATACTGGTGGAAGGGGAGATGGGGTAGATGAAGGAGACATCACCTGGCGTCGGTCCAGCCAGCATCTTGTGGCCACCCTAAATGTTCATGAAACAAAGGTGTTGAAACGTTGGAAGTGCACATCACATACCTTTTATGCGAACCAAACAGCATGACTTGGGCATTCAGATTTGATCACGCACCCATTGAAGTTCCAGCCAGGCACAGCCAGGATCAACACGACACGTGTTGCCACAATCGACCCACCAAGGGCGCCCACCAGTTGGTCCTGGACCAATGTGTCCAAGTCCTACGTACCTATCCGAGACCCAGGAAGCTGTCAGAACAAGGATGGTTGAGCTGATCACTGACATCCAAACCAACGGGTCAACAAACATCAAGTTGCAAATTTGCACCTACGAGTACTAATTGTTGTGTTGGTTGGTTGGCGAGTTGACTAATTATTTTCATCTCACCTTGGCCAATGACTGGGAGTGGCACGAAACCAGAAAACGGTATTGTTTGGATTCTCGGACTCTTGAAACATCTTGAACAAAACAGTATTATGCGTCGCATTGTGATGTAAATCCATTGCTTCGCCCCGGTTGGTGACGTCACCCCGAAAACGTGCTCTATTGACTCTTGACTCGACTTGATTTGTCACATTTTGCGAGCACCAAATGGAAACTATTCCTCCATTGAATCCAAGAAAAACACATGTTTAATATAGTTCAATAGGATGTTCATTGTTCGTCGCAGCTGTTGCCTTCCCTAGCCTTTGTTGTCTCTTTTAAAACGCAAATGTCGTATTTCAGCTGTGGTGCTGAGGGCATATGCCACATGTGCCGCGGCGGTGTTCCCGTCGATGGCACGTTCCGACTTCCCCTCATGAGAGAGCATCGGCATGTCGATGGAACCTGCAGATTTCGCCAGTTTGCACAAATCAAAGAACAACCACATGGACCCAAAGAGCAGGTTGGGCCCTCCGTCTTTCAACAGACCAATGGTGCTTTGAAAACCCAGATGATGACGACGATGACGATGACGATGATCACGATAGTGGTGGTGGTGGTGGTGGTGGTGGTGGTGGTGAATTCTTTTGTTTCACAATGGACGAAGTGCTGCAGCGCATGAGTTTAGAATCTGCGCCGTGCAGATGAGACCACATGTGAGGAAACATCACACACGGTTGCAGGCTCTCGCGTGTTGGTTTTGTATGCTTGGCTCGAGATTTGTTGACCGCTCCTGTTCTTCTTCCCCCGCGGCCAGTGGAGAGTGTGTGTGTAATTAGCTTTATAGGCTGTGATGAGATACCAGGTTGAATGTCATGTGGATTCGTTATGATTCTCATTAGCTTTGCTTTTTTAAATCCAATATTTCTTGGGTGAGTGTAGGTTGGGTCTTGTTTGGTGGGGCACGCTAGGCCGCTAGGCTGCTACATGCTGCTACAAAAAAACAAGACACAGCGTGGTGGCTGACCATGCAGGTTCTTGCTAAAGGATCATGCAGGGCATCCAAAAGGGTTCGTTGTACAATACATGTCATGTAGAAGTGTGCTTGCCAATAGACAAGACCTTTGCCGTTGTGAACACGTTCTCCTCAGCGCTTGCTGAATCGAGCGGAATACCACTCTCGCAAAGGTCTGCGTATACGTTGTCTTTAGACTTTACGTGCACTTGCTCACTTTGGTGTCCTTGTAAACGAGCTGTTACAGTAATATCTTTTATTCAACATCAGTAGAAACCAGCTGAGAAAATAGCGCTTCCAAGACTCCGAAGTTCCTAATAAAGAAACACATTGAATACATTTTGACTTCCAGACTTCACGGCAAAGTGGGAGCAGTCTCCTGAATCTCCTTTTGCTGCTCGCAAATTACAGCAATTATGTTGTTTTCTCTGCGTTTGAACCTTTTTGACTATTCACTCCTGATTGAACTCCTCCAGGCCGCATCCCCATCCAAAGCATCGACATTCTGGTCATGCCATGGTCGTTGTTCCCAGGACAACGACTCCCCTGCCATTCATCCAGGGAACGGCTGGCTTTGATCTTCTTGGCGAAAGACATGGCGGCACCGGCCCTGAGTCGACGCAGGAAGCCAACTCGGAACCAGTCGGGTGGTACAAAAAATGGGTTTTGTGCTTTAGTAGGGAAACCTCCTTAACCGATGGATTTACAATACAGTAGTACAAGATTATGCAAGCTGTTTTGGAGTCATCTGCACGGCGACAGCGTGATCGGTTGCAGAGCATTCTTAATCATTCTTACGGTCTTCCAACATTGTCTTCGGTTTCACAACATTGTCACCGCCAAGCCATTCTCATCAAAAAAGAAACTGTTGGGTTAACGTGGGTGGAGTAATCTCTATACATTTAGTAATATATGTGAATATATATATATATATATTACGTATTTTGATTTATTTTGGTTACAGAACATCGTCATCGGTTTCACAACATTGGCCCGCTGAGTGAGAAATGGACGGCTCATGACGGAGCTTGGAGCCTCAAGGGCATCCGCGTCTTGGAATTCAATTCCAAGACGCTAAATGGAATTGCACCGTCATGAAAACCACGTAAATATCCGTTTTCTTACTGTGCATTCTTGACCAATTTTTGACCCTTCGACTGTGACTCCGGGAACCCCTCCGGATGACCCAAATGGAGAACAGCTCTTGCCTCGCATCGTGCTAGGTGGGATCACACAATCAGCAGTTTCGCTCAGTATCCTTTACTAGCCCTGATAGTTTCTTGTTACTACTAGCAATGGCCTGCACCCCAGTAGCGATGGCCTCCACCCTAGTAGCGATGGCCTCCACCCTAGTAGCGATGGCCTCCACCCTAGTAGCGATGGCCTCCACCCTAGTAGCTATGGCCTCCACCCTGAATCAAGACTGAAGCGCTGTGAACTGAAGCGCTGTGAATATCAAAATCCAAATGGATCGTGTAAGCTTTCTGGCCTGCTCGTTGTTGAGGTCTAAACAAGCTCATAAATATCCAAGGGAGTGTGAAATCGTTCCCCTTTGTGACCATCGTTTCATTGACTTTTCAGATCTGATTGGGTGACAATTAAAAATACAACGTGGCCCCTGCACGGGAAACAAAACTTTGGAGGAAGAACATGTTGTTTGTCCGGTCCATTCTTGGACACTCGGAGACCTTTGCTCAAGTGGCTCTGACTGAAGCGTGGCATTACAATATACGAGGCACCCGCTTGGTTCCGGCGTGTTTCAAGGACATGAGTTTCTCGACCTGTCTGAGAAAAGCAGCTTTTCTTCGGCGATGAATCAGATTCGGAGAGCAAAAAGGTAGATCTATATCATTATCTCCGAAGAGGCTACTAGGAACAAGAAGCTACTAGTAACAAGGGCATCGCTACTAGTAACAAGAACGATACTAGGGGCTCCTGGCCGTACTACTAGGAGCAAGGACGCTACTAGGGGCAAATTGCATACAAATGCACCAGGTTGACCGAAACGGAAGACGGCCGGGAACGACATGAGCCTCAAAGTGCTCGACCCCACAATGGTTTCTCGCTGTATGGTGAGGCATGGCCGGAACCGATGGCCAGGTTTTCAGCTGAGAAGGCATGTTGCATGTTTTTTGGAGCGGAAAGAGCAATTCAAGTTTGGAGGGTGTCATATGCACCCCAAAATGAAGCTTGACCCCAGTCTTGCATGAAGCGACGTCCCGCTGAAGGGGCGAGCTGCGTTTGCACTGTAGTGGCCTGAACGTGAAAGATTCGCTTGGTATCGTTTGGTAATGTTCGGTACCAATGCTTGGTGAGTTTCCCATAGCTGATGTCCAGGTTTAAAGAATTGCTGGCAGATCTCCAAGAATTGTACAAAAGTTTGCCCAACTCTGTTCTCAAACAGCATGGTTGATGGCTCTCATCGCCTTAAGTGCACAAAGAAAATGAGACGACAGCAGCCATATGCCAGCTGGAGACGTGCTGGGGAGGCTCGGGTATCACAAGCGGGAACTCCGAATTCACCCAGCATTTGTCATTTGGCAAAAGTTTGAGTGTTGTGTAATATTATATTCCCCCCACCACCCCCGCCAGCCCAACCCACCCAAGTGCCTGAAAACACACGGCCGCTTTTCAGGGCGAGTGGTACCTACTGATTAGAGAAGTTTCTCATCCTTGGTTGAGTCACTGGGGTAGCATGATGTCGGCTGTAAGATGTCGAACTGTTTCGACTGACAAAGGTCAAGCCACGTGCGCGCCGTCGTCTCGCCACTGGAAGCCACTTGTGTGGAAGCGAAGGCTCTGTTCAGTGCCTCCGATTGCGACCACCGCATTTCCAAATATGAAAAACATCCAACACCTGGTGTTTACCATATTAAGCACCAGATAAACCCCGGGAAAAATGGCCTAGATTCATTCTGTTCAACAAGTTGTTCAATGCTGCCTACGTGAAGAAGAGGCACGGTAGCAGCTAGCAAGGCCACCTGGTAAAGTTGAGAACGGGCCCGCTGGTTCTCCAACTGCCTGCCGACACCAAGAACCACCTCAGTCTTCACCGTTACCAAAAGTATCCAAACGTGTTTTCAGGGACTGGGTTGGGGTAGGGGTAACTGGACTAGAGAAAAGTGCAAGTGCTAGATCTGAGTAGCTACACTGTCAGGCAGGGTTTTAGCGGGGTTTCACTGGAGGTCCCATCCGAAATGCATCAGCTTCTGAACCGAACCTGCTGTCCCCATGCAGGGGCCGCACCTGCTTTGCTGCATTTCCACCCTTCACCATGTTCAAAATGTTAGCTCGACTGAAACCTCAGATTTGTTCAACATTTGTTCTGCGTCTTGGTGCGAACGCCGCATGGTGAGGAGTGCGATGTTCACAACCCCCCTTAAACAATGAACAAGTGTGAATGGGCAACATCTAATCTACCAATCAAACATCAGGGGGAGACCCACAACCCAAAAGCTTAGCTCAGGGTCAGAACTCAAAGGAGGATAAGGTACATCATCCCGTCAGGGTTGAAGAGTTGCAAGGGCAATGCAAGCAGCCGGATAGAGATTGGAGAAATGAGCTTATATAAGTGTCCCTAAAAATCTAGAAACCAAATCATTAGTGGAAAAAGCTCCCCCCCCGCTCTCAGGCGGGGAGAGCTTCCGTGAAGAAGCGTGAGCTATCCTGCGTCCTAGGTAGTAGCTACTTAAGCTACTAGCCATCTAGCTTCTACTAGCTACCTCTAGCTACTACCTCTACGGAATCAGTGGTGACTGATATCTGGTGGAAGCTTTATCTGGGTCATGTTGACCGTACCTCTGGTAGTTCACATGACAACAATTAACACAAACCAGGCCTACTCTTTGTGTTCATCTGATGGTTTCAAGTCTGAAACGGGACTTCTCCAAGTTCTTCAGCAAGCGGACACTCGACTCTCAAGGCTCAACAAACATTGAACTCTTTCAATTGTCCTGCCGTGTCATGGCTACTAGTAGCAAGAACGCCATTAGGGGCTCCTCACCTTACTACTAGGAGAAAGAAGCTACTAGTAGTAGGTTGAGGCCATCGCTAGTAGAGCGGAGGCGCCATGCTCCACTCTTGTTCGGCCCATGGACGACCACTCGAACTTCCCGGGTTCGTCTCGGGCACTTGGAGACGACCCGAGCGCGTAGCTTGGCGTTTCGTGGAGATTTGGTACAAACGCGAGATGACTAACCCAGTCAGCATAATGCATAAGGACGACCAAGGGGCGACACACCAATATTAAACACTCGATGCCACGGGTTTGTCCACTTCCCAACTAGAATGTCAAAAATACCTGCCGCCCAAAAAGCAGAACTATATTGTACGATACGAAATATATGTGTTTTCACTGTTTGTTGTAGAAACTCTGACAGTCGAGACTCCTTGCATATAACATGTGACCTGTGGATGATCACCTTTAACAAATCTCGGGGTTCCAATGGTCCAAGCTCCAATAACTTTCCTCTCTTCAGTCACATCCTTCCCTCAGTTCATGCAGCCGGAACGAGAAGACGAGCTAGAGGAGACGAGCTAGAGGAGCCGAACTCCTGGCAGGACTCAGGATTGTAGACCCCCAGTCCTGTTAACGATGAGCTTGTGTGAGCTTGTGGTGAACACCCCACGGTGCCCATTCTACACTTTAGACGGTGGGCTTGGTGCCTGAGAGAAACGGCCAAAACGGCTAAAGCATTGTCACTGAAGGCTCCTACCCCGGACGGTGAAGAGCAGCAAGCGCGGCTCTGATATCCAAAATGGCTGAGAGAAACGTGGCAGCGGATGCAGGCGAAGAAACCATCAGGGACGTGAAGACACCACAGCCCACAAGGGCTCCAAATTGGAAGAACAACGGCTCGACAGATTTGGTGAACCTGTCTGAACATGGTATGAAACACCATCTTCCTATGCAAACCCAAACGTCATCAGTGGGAGTTAATTATGATGGCTTGATGCTGCTGCTACAAGACAAAGTCGCAAACCCTATTTATTCTATTTATATAAACAGTGTCAAGATTTCAAAAGGGAAGCTGTTCTCCGATCCTTTGCAGCTGGCCATCGTCTGATTGCTCTGATTAGTCGGAGTTGAACTCCTTGCGGCAATACTGGTCACATACTGGTCCCATACACATATTCGCACAAGGATTGCTATGGCTTGGTAGATGATTCCTTCCTTCTTGCTTGCCCCCCTGAAACTGAAACTGATCTTTTATTGGCAACACACACACACACACATGTCGCACACAGGTCGCACAAATTGAAGCAAACTTCATCTGGACATAACATGACATATCATATATATATATGCACTGTATACATATATGTATGTACAAATAAACGCACTTAAAGTAAAGGCTGGACGGGCCGACCCAAAGAGCGAGTCAACCAAGGTTCGGAACTACAAACAAATCAAAGCAGCCGTCTCTATCAAGCTCCGGCAAAGGTCAAGGTTTACCTGACGCACTTGGACCCACATTTTCCCAAGAAATCACCACCTGAAAACCGGCGAGTCATTGGTTCATCGGCCCATCGGTGTGTTCAATTGACCAGGATAGGTATCTGCCAGAGTGGCCTATTGTGGTTTGCATGGTGCTATGTTGTGGATCTATCACTCTGACGCATTGCCTGAAACTCCAAACTCAGCCCACTCGTAGCCACAGCATACCTTCCTACCATTCCGCATTCCGGATGCGCATTCTCCACTGAGTGCCCCGGTCGCCCTCGAAGGCGTAGGTGTTGCGGATCCGGAGCTCTTCCGGACCTGAGGCCAAGACGGAGCGGACGTGATTGAAAACTGCTTGTGCTGATGGTTGCGGAGCAGTACTTGCCAACTATCATTGTGGGCAAAAATAGTGTAACCAGTTTTATGACTCATCGTGGTGTCAAGACGTGCAAGCTTGGTGGTATCAGCCTCACGGAAAGTCATGTGTACAAATGTTCTCTTTTGAAGACGTCTTGGATGCATCCGAATCACAGAAATGCCCTAGCTCTAGGCTCACTAAAGAACCTATGTGTTTAATTATTTGGAAGTCCAATACAATTTCCCCGCTTCATCGCACAAATACGTGTTCTGAATATTCTCGGCCACGGCTTGTGTGAATGCCACTGAGAATGCTCTGAGGACCCCTGCGGAAGCGAACGGGTAATACCGATACCCGACTTCGTGGGAATGTAAGTAGACCAAGCTTGACCGATATGAAGTACAAAGCACGCTTGATCCATTAAGACAGCCGGAACCACGGCTGCCGGGCAAACGGTTACAAAGTACAACGGAAGAAACATCTTCAGAGATGAAAAGAGCAAAAACATAGAGGCGTTATTCTTGCATTGAAGTATTCCCTAAAAGTCTAGGAACCAAATGATTAGAAGATACTATCCTGCGTCCAGTTACTAGAAGCTAACTGAGCCTAAGGAGCTTACTTCTCCCATATTCAATTAAGTAGGCGCCTACAAAAGGGCTTCTGGGCCTCATCGTTGAGAGGAAGTTAAATTTCCCCAAACATCTAGGAATCAAATTAATAGTGCGAGCGCTTCTTCAAGGAAGCTCCCCCACCGCCCTTACGCGGGGGGAGCTTCCTTGAAGAAGCGTGAGCTATCCTGCTGTCGGTAGTAGCTACTTGTTAGCTACTAGCTACCTCAGTGCCTTACTTAATTAAGTAGACGCCTACTTGATTAAGTAGGAGGGGGGGGAGCGGGCTTTAAACAAACAAATGAATAGTTATGCATATATATATATATATCTCTTGGAACGTGTTTGTAGTCCAATGGCTGTCGATCCCTAAGGCCCTCTAGGCGCAAAGCTCGTCTTCAGCGCGGCGGCCAAATGGACCATGTAGGCTTCCGCCACCATCAAGCCTCACCCGGAAGTATGGCACGGTGAAATTTGGCTCCAAAAACTATATACCGATATATACCGTATATACCCATACAAGTAGGGTCCGGGCAATCCTGCTATTTTTTGTGCTTCCAAGTAATTAAGCAAGTCCCAAGGAACAATATTTGGAATCGAACATCCCAAAACAGAATCTTTGGAGGCGCGCCATGAAGGTATATAACTTTCCGGATCCATCTACCTGGCTCACCATCGGTTAACGTATTTATTTCTTTTACACAAAGAAAACCTGAAGCTCCACAAATAAATATTTGGTGTTCGGGTCCAATATAATTCCAGAGGCATTGTCTGGAGTGACTATGTAGTTGGAGAATTCCAAAAATAAAAATGCCAAAATAGACATATAGATATTAAAACGATTTAACCAAAGCTACACTGATCTACATGTTGCTGGCAACAACTTCCATCTATAGTGGATATCCAGGATAACGGTAAATGCAAACGATGGCAAAATGGTCTTGTAGAACACACAAATGTATCTTACTCTTCAACACGTGTTGTTTTTTTTTCCAATCCTTGCGCAACTCAGGTTTTGCTGGGGATTTTTGAGGATCCACATACAGTACTCTCCTCTACAAGGTGGTTTTGGAGGGTCCAACTACCTTCTATTGGATCTATCTAGGCCCATCGGGACCGACCCACAAAGACTACTAATCCAACAATTCCTCTTTGGACAGGCTTTGACTGCCTTTCACAGGGACCAAAAACGGTCCATAGAAGAACATGGTCTTCTAGGAATTCTTCTTTATCACTTGGAAGCTTGTTGAATGCTTGACAAATGCCTGCATTATCTGTCCTGCTTAAGCCCTGCCTTGAGGTCCACCGAAGCCTCTGAAGGCTGTATTGGACCTAAATGTGCGGAAAGGTGGTAGCAGTTCAGGAGGCAATGAAAAGACACGGAAACCCAAGCAAGCCCATCTAGAATACTGCTGGGGGTTGGGCATTGAAGAGTCCTGACTGCCAAGTCAAGAGTTTGCATCCCAATGCTGGGGATCGCTCAGGGCAAATGGTCAAAGGTGCTCACTGACATCGTTGGAACACCGCGCAGGATGTCGGTCCAATATGTTTGTCAAAGGCTGAAACTTTTGGGACTCTTGTGGGGTGAGGGATCAAACAACAGAAACTCAATATGGTGGCAAGCATGGATTGCCCCAAACATACTCATATATCATATATTGAGATGGACCAGTCCAAACATACTGGGACGACTGTGACCATCCCACCTAAAGACTCTTAATGTAAAGAAGCAAGCATCTGATTTTTGACGTTGAACATGATGGAATAACCAGTCTAAAGTGGTTGGGACCGAGGTCAGGATAGTGTTCATGATTGATGATATTGCTGTGCGTCCCGTGGGACCCCGGCCAAGTCAAGACTGTCCACTGAGCACACGCACGTGGTGTTTGTTAGGCACATGAAGCCTTCCACACGGACCTAGGTGCTCTGAGCGACAATCTTCCACGTGCCTGGACCTTCCTTCATTACATGTCAATAGTAGCCGCATCACTGATGCCATGGCATGCTGTACATGCAATTCAACGTAGGCAATAAAACTGATATACTCTTGGCGGTAAACTTTACCGAACCACATCCTTATACTCCATCAAGAGCGTGGGTGGCTTACCCAGTCCTTGGCACAGACATGGCTATAGTGACCAGCTCAGCCCCACACATTGGGGATCTTGTAGCAGCCATCGCCTTGGCGTGAGATGCGGATTTGACGAACTACAGCTGGACAGGGACATGGGTGCAAGTGGAGTGTCGCAAAAATTGTGCAGGCACACCACCCGACTGGTTGTCATCAATTTCTGCTACTCAACAAGATGTTCGAGGGTCCCTATCAAAGGTTTTCCGTTTGAAATGAGTGTGTCTTGGAATAGGGAGACCTCCAAAAGAAAAATACATTGGCCGCGGTTTGCGGAGGAGTCTCCCCATATGTATTGAATCACGCAACTTGTACTTTTTTGTTGTTGCTTCTTCACTGCCATGACAAATGCTGCGAGCCAGCCTGTACTGCTCTTTCCCCCCAAGGGGCGATTGGACGGGTGAGTCCTCCATGGTTGCTGGTTCTAGCTTCTTTAAACATGTCCACCCCCCAAGTGCCAAACATTAGACATGTTGATTCTTCGTCAGAGTTTTGCAAAGCCATCAACAACATGAAGCTGGCTGCTTGCTGATCCAATGTACAAAACGTTTCAGATTCACACCCAAGTACAACAGGCTCTGAGATTCTAAAGAAAACGTGTTTGTTGATGGGTACTGACAACGTGGCTCGCTTTACCCGTCTACCCATTTAAAGGGCTGCTCTTGATGATGATTTCTTTGGCCCCGGCGAAGGGTGTACAGGCTGGCCCATGTCTGCCATCCGTAGACATGCACCAGCCACTGCTCAAAAAGGAGCATTGTACGGCAAATTGTTCGTCTAAACTCTAAACGCAAACTAAAAAAAGACCATCGGTCACCCCCAACTCCCTCACATAATCATGGAAGTGGAAAATAACCCCCGGAAAGATAATTTTCCTCTACAAGCAGGTGGTTTTCCACTTCCATGATTATGTGAGGGAGTGTAATCCTCAGAAACAAAACTTGCCAGCGTTGGTCAGAACCTGAGAGAGCGAACTGTGAAAGAGCGCACGGCCCATGACCGGCTCGGTGAGATCCATGGAGTAACCGGCCTCGATGCGACCGACCGAGACCATCTCGTGAGAACCGAAGGCAGGGGCCACTCCATGTTGGCTCGGGAGTTCATGAGCTTCGAAAAGAGTCCTTTTGAGAAGTGAAATGAACCAAACAGGCTTCACAGGGATTATGGGTGCACTGAAACCAAAACCACTTGACCAGTTGGCTAGTCCGATATAGAGCTCAGTGGCATTTGGAATAGCAATTTCTCCAGGTGAAAGGAACCCCCCACTCGTCCAGGGCTTAGCATGAACATGTTGATGTGTTGATCTCACTATGGTAGGGGTTCGGCTGATGGATGAAAGGTGTAGTCAGTCCTGGATCACTCAATTCCTCATCCCCAACAGGCTCAGTGGTCCCAGGCAGCCGTACCCCTGGCAACTGATGGGCAGGCTCGACATGACCCAAGTTACATCCCCAAGGCAGTTTCACCACAGGGCCATGGCCATGGCTCAACAAAAAGGGTACCATCCAAATAGACCAAACCCTCTGGCGTTGATTTTTTGACGCCAGATCAATATCCCACCACAGGGCATGCAGAACATTCAGCGTGCCACTGAGAGCTGCGGCATTGCAGTAGAGCTTGGCGTCCAGCGCCCGAAGCTTCCCATCCGGACCTGACGTCCAACGCCGGAGGGGCGTCCGAGCCACTGTGGATGGCAGAGTCCTGTGGATCCACTCGTAGTTTTTCAAAAGTGCTCAAAAGCCTTGAATTCCAGTCGTTAAACATGCGAGGAAGCAGTATTCGTTTCTCAAAAGGAGCAAATCTGAAGACACAAAAAATCGCTGCTGCAACTGTTAGGAATGCTGCATGCATGTCACTACCACAATTTTTTCAGCCGAGTTCACCGAGATTGCACTAGCAGCTAGCAAAGGCAAAGATGGATGCATTTCGCAAGTCATTTAACTTGCAAAGAAAATCCCTACAGGCCCTACGGGTCACTGGAATTGGAATAGCATTTGCCAAGGAGATTGTTTACCTGCTTGTGGCCGCGGGTACATCTTGTTGCTGCGGTGTTTGGATGGTGGGGGCTCGGGAAGGGCCTCTTGCTTGGTCCATTTTGGATTGAGCAAGCATCTGTGCCTGCACCTGTTCGATGCTGTTTTGCACCATCTGCAAATCAAGCAACTTCTGCTGCAACTCGGTCAGGAGCAACACACGTTGCGCTGTCTGAGTGGCCACATCCCAGCTACCTGGCGCCACAACCTCTGTGCTGGTCATCCTGGCATCAGTAGTAGGGGCTAAAGCCCATGCAGCAAAGGAAGGCTGCTCGTTCTGCCATGGCGAATATGCTCCGCTCTGCTCGCGTTCACCCGATCCAGGAATAATAACTGGTGCCGCCTGCCGAGCGGTTGGCAGCATTTCAAACAGATCGGGTGTCCTGCTGTCCTGCACCACTGACAGTCACAACAGTCGAGGCGTGAGAGCTGGAGATCCTACAAGCATCCAGGAAATCTGGGTAACTATACTTATAATGTCGCAGCTTGAGCCAAAAATCAGGATGCAAAGGGAAAATCTGATGCAGTTTGCATTTAGGAATAGCCCGATAGGCAGTTTGTATCGTTCTTATGTGCTCGAAGTCTACACTGGAGCATGTTGTGCTTCCCTCTTCCCACTGGCCTGCAGCTGCTCGATACCTGCGGCGATGGGGTCTGAGAGCAGGTACAGTAATTATGCTGCGCAGGTGAGGATAGACTAGGTAAGTAGTTGCTGTTGGGCAGAATTCTGACCTTGGAAGCTGGATGCATACATACGTTGAACGGGTAGAGCAGGGTTTCATATGCCCAGGTGATGTAGCAGCTCACACAAGACGTGGTACCACCTGTGAAGGTGCAACCAAAGTGTCTGTAGCAAACAACAACGTTCCGGTCCCCTTGTCGCGCGACCGCATGCCGCTGGTGTTGTATCTTTTCAGAGCATGATCCAAGCAAAAACTGCTTCAGGATTCATCTCCAGATTCACAACATTTCACAACCCACTCCAGCTTCGTTGAAAACGCCTGAGGCACGTTCGCTCGAGATGTCCGAAGGGCTTTCGCTCGCTCGACCACGCGGTGGTGCCGCGCTTTCTGCTGCGCCTCGCCAAGAAGGGATGTCGCCCACCGGTGATCCACATGTCCACGTCACGGTCGACATCTGAGCAGCGTTAGAGAAGTGCGAGAAGCCAGCTACGGGCAATGTCTGTGAGTTTGAGCTATCGGTGGAATCCCACAAATCTGTAGAGGACTTATATGGAAAACAAGACATGGTGGAAGGTGTCAATCCACCTTCTCGACGACAAGCCACTAGACCGAGTGAATCTGGTGACTCCATGGATAGGGTAGGTTGTGTTCTTTGAAAAATGACCCAACTAGGGGATTGTCGATGCCAAACAAAACTGGGATCCATAGGGAAAGGTAAGATATGGTAAGATGCTTCTGTAGGAATCATTAAGACTCAATCAAAGGTTTGAAGGAACCGGGGTTCGATGAAAGCAGGATCTGCAAAGCCTTAGTGAATATACAATTCATCAAAGTGTAAAAATCATAGTACACGTGTCCCGGGGGGACTGGGAAACATGACCCAAACCCATGCGACAAACATATAAGTAGGAACCACCCATCGTTGCCAAAGAGTGTCACTGCATGTCACGGTACCAGTAGGTCACCCACGAGAAAGAAGATCTTGTGTATTTCCAGTATCAAACATCCAATTAAGGTCATGTTGTGATATGTTGTCAATGCCACTCCAACATTGGAACGGGGTCCCATGCCACTCGCTGTTCACCTTAAAATCAGGCTATCCTCCGTGCTGAAGGGGGAGCCCCGAGTATCAAATGGGTACGTCGTCGCTGGCTTCCAACATCTGGAGCCAAAAGCTTTGGTGACTCCGTACCTGACAACAATTCGCCTAAACCATGACATAATCAAAGCCAGGCCACAGCGGAACATTGAGTAACAGGTTAGGACACAGTATTGGTCAATGTCATCTTGCACCTGGGAAGAAGATGCACTGTCAATTCACTTCTTGTATCGTCGCATCTATGCCATGGTCAATTCAGTAGCGTATTGCCAGTTGGATCCCAACAAACACCGTACTGCAATATATACGCTACTAGTAAACTTAAACTAGGAACAAGAAGCTAGTAGTAAACAATATGTAAATTATGACGCTTGTGTCTGAGTCTTCCCGACTGATCTTCACCTCAGCCCGGTCGGTGCGACCAGGTGCGATCCACGGTCCGGAGTCTGCAGGAAATCCCACCACTTCTCGGGAGCGATGCACTTGTTACTAGTAGCGATGCATTAGCTACTAGTAGTTTCTTGTTACTTTTCATGTTTTGTCTTTACTTTTCTTTTAGACCCTTTGACTTTGACCTTGCGCGTTCCATGGAATTGTTGTACGTCAGCTCGAAAGCTCTTAGAGGTTCTAGAGTTAGGGAAAAACATGAATGGACTGGCTGGTTATTCAAGACCCTAGGGAATCACACTGAATACTACTTATAAACCCGTGTATAGTCCTAATAATGGATTTTCTCATACCTCCTTCATGCCTTTTCTTACTCTTAAGTCCATGTTTGTTCAACCTATACCTGGTAGAAGAGATCACACAAATTAAGATATTACAGTCATAAAAACGTATGATTTCATAACAAACAACAAAGTCATAACCATGGTTGGTGGAAACTCCTTCTTGATACAATGGAAAAGGCGGAAGGTGTAAGGTGTGCGGTCGTTTCTTGCACGAACTGGCACTGGCCAACGTACTGTGTCACAGGGATCCCAAGCAAGTCAATGGCCACAAGCAGGTGGTTTTGATGTGGGGATGTATGTGGGAATTAGCAATTTCTTACTGAGTGGTCTCTTGCAAGACACCAAGGGTCGCATACAATTAATTTTGTATAATTAATATATATATATATATCAGTAGAAAGAGAGACACAATCAGCAATGCCGCCGTCCGTCCAAGAAAGTCTCCACAGTGTAAAAAACTGACAGGCATGGATTGTTCCGTCTCATTTCACATGTTGAAACTCTTCAAAGCAACACAAACAAATACAGTAAATAGTGCTTTGTACAAACAACCTCACGGCCCGCTGCCATCCCATGATCAATACAATATTAACGACAACCCGCACCGTCAAAATAGAAAGAACAAACTGCAGGCCCCCGTGTTTGCGCTGAGCACAATCAAAAGGACTGGCAAAGGGCACCTGTCACATTATTGCAGTCTTCCGTCTTCCTGACAAATTCAGTCAGTGACTCAAAAACATGCCTTGAGGGCTACATAACTGTCACATCAATTAAAACTCGATCACCAATAAAACAAAACACACATTGCCACACACGACCACGACCACCACCACCACCACCACGACAACGACGACGACGACGACAATAACACCAGCAGCAGCAAAAAACAACATTGACCTGAACCAACCACAAATGAAGGGTTAGGCGAACCAAACCATCAAATAAGATCACATACACATCAGCACATAGTCCAAACCAAACAAACAAACAAACAAACAAACAAGCAAACAAACAAAACAAACAAACCACCAAGAACATCAATTTGGTTAATCGAACGACTCACGACACAGCGTCTACCCTTTCGCCAACTCATCCAGATCGACGGCTCGGCCGGGCTCCCCCACGGGTCGCTTCAATCGATGGGCACTTAAGGCTGCAGCAGTGGAAAAGGGCACCGTGCGCGTCTCCTGCGATGAATCACAGGGAACCAGTTCAACGGCGGTGCAGGATGCTGTCCATCAACCGTGGCTGTGTGTAGTTGGCCCACGGCACATAGACGGCTGTGGGCTTTTCTTGCATTTTTGGTGATTTGTTGTTTTCTACGGTGGGCATGTTAACGTTCGGTTGCACTTGCTACGTGAAGTTGATGCTACGTGTGCGAAAGGGGTGGGGTAGGGTGGGGCATGTTAACGTTCGGTTGCACTTGCTACGTGGAGTTGATGCTACGTGTGTGAATGGGGTGGGGTGGGGTGGGGCATGTTACCGTTCGGTTGCACTTGCTACGTGAATTTGATGCTACGTGTGCGAATGGGGTGGGGTGGGGTGGGGCATGTTAACGTTCGGTTGCACTTGCTACGTGTACATGTGGGCTTGGGGACAAAGCTTGACCTGTGCCAGACCGGCTCAGTTCTTGCGCCACTTGGAGGAGCTCCTGTGAAGAGTGGACAAGTCGCACACATGTCCGACGCGAAAAGTAGTTGCATAGTTTCAAAAATGCTTCGAAATCACCGTTTCGCCTCAGCGAAACTCTGATTTAATCCAAATCTGCATGGAATTCACCATGATTCCAATGATTAAGTGTCGCTCAAATGATTCCTATATAATGGAATTATGCATATTTGGACTTGATTACCCCACGACCATCCTTGATTACCCCACGGCTGCCTATGCGCCGGGGACCTAGTTGAGAAAAATGGGGGGTGACCAACAGCCTCAGAAGCATTGGATGGGAACCTCTGGTAAATATTTTTCCCCGGAGCGAGAACGCTCGCTCTGCACGGCACGTGTGTACGGGACCACGGGCTCTCCATTTCGCGGGCCCGCGGGTCGACAGTGCGGGCTCGCGGGCTCGACTGCGCGGGCCCGCGGGCTCTGCGGGTCCGCGGGCTGGGCTCACCAGCAAGCGGGTGTGTGGGCATTTGAGACTAGTCCCAGATGGTTTCTTTTCTGCAAGTAGTGGGAGCTTCAAGCTTAGGGCAGGGTGCTTCCCTGCACTTTGGAACCTGGGTGTTGTTTGAAGATGCAATGCCTGATGTCTGTGGCTGGTGAGCTTTGGATTGTGGGCGCTGATGCCCTGCAAAGATGTCTTTGTCTGTGCGCGCTTTGGAGCCTGGGTGCTGGCCCTCCAGCGGCCGCTTGCCATACTGCTCACGCGTGGGTTGGGAGTTGGGGAACTTTCACTGGCTTTGGTCGGGCACAACTCGTCTGCTACGTTCTGACCGTTTCATGGCAACATAATAAGCTTGATTTACAGTAAAGTTGTTAACTGCAGCGCTCCGATCCTATACTTGGACTTGGAAAAAACAATTGCAAGTCAGTCCAAACTATTGCAATCATGTCTTCTACTGTTTGGAATCGAGTCTTTGCAAACCAAGCGTGACCGCAGCAGGACAATGCTCAAAACGATAAATTTGCCATGTGCATGGAACATTCACGCCCTATTCGGTATGGAATCGGTCATGGAAAAGGTTGAACTTTGAAAGCCACAGGCCCATTTGGCGGGATATCTCTTCTGATGAAGAGTCATCTGTGGAGGACAAACTGGGTGATATTGAAATAGTTGAATATTGAAGGGGGCTGGCACCTCACCCCACTTACGTAATCTAGAATCTATGGTTCAGGAGGTCATTTTGACGGCCCCGCGGGGCGCCACAGGGAACAACCATGGCCCCATGGTTACATAAGTAGGAGCAACAAAGGATAACGAAGGTCCTGTACGTACTTGGCTTTCGCGAGGAACATGGACAACAACCCGACACTATGCTGTCCTTTCCACCAAAGCCTCCGCCCATGCGCTTCACCTTGCACACCACCTGGCAACAGTGTAAATGGCGCTGCCACATCCGAGCGGAGA